TCCCTGATGGATTAAAGTACCCTGGTCCTGCTCCTACATTTAAGAACATAAGAACATAAGAGACGCCAATGTTGGATCAGGCCAAAGGCCCATCCAGTCCAACACTCTGTGTCACACAGTGGCCAGAAATACCAGTGCCATCAGGAGGTCCAGCAGTGGGGCCAGGACATTAGAAGCCCTCCCACTGTTGACCCCCCCCCCAAGCACCAAGAAGACAGAGCATCACTTGCCCCAGAGCCCCTAGCTATACCTTGTGGCTAATAGCCACTGATGGACCTCTGCTCCATATGCTTATCTAATTCCCTTTTGAAGCCGTCCATGCTTGTAGCACCCACCACTTCCTGTGGCAGTGAATTCCATGTGTTAATCACTCTTTGGGTGAAGAAGTACTTCCTTTTATCCGTTCTAACCCGACCGCTCTGCAGTTTCATGGAGTGCCCACGAGTTCTTGTATTGTGAGAAAGGGAGAAAAGTACCTCTTTCTTTACCTGCTCTTTCCCATGCATAATCTTATAAACCTCGATCATGTCACCCCTCAGTCGTCTTTTCTCCAAGCTAAAGAGCCCTAAGCGCTTTAACCTTTCCTCATAGGGAAAGTGTTCCAACCCTTTTATCATTCGAGTTGCCCTTTTCTGCACTTTTTCCAAAGCTATAATATCCTTTTTAAGGTGTGGTGCCCAGAACTGCACACAGTATTCCAAATGAGGTCTCACCATTGATTTATATAGGGGCATTATTATATTGGCTGATCTGTTTTCAATACCCTTCCTAATAATCCCCAGCATAGCATTGGCCTTCTTTATTGCAGTCACACACTGTCTCGACATTTTCAGTGAGTTATCCACTACAACTCCAAGATCTCTCTCTTGCTCAGTCTCTGCCAGTTCAGACCCCATCAATGTGTATTTATATTTAGGATTTTTGGCTCCAATGTGCATCACCTTGCACTTGGCCACATTGAACCCCATTTGCCATGTTGACGCCCACTCGCCCATCCTTGACAGATCCCCTTGGAGTGCCTCACAATCCTCACTGGTTTTCACCACCCTGAACAACTTTGTATCATCCGCAAATTTAGCCACTTCACTGCTTACTCCCATCTCCAAATCATTAATGAACAAGTTAAAAAGCAGTGGACCAAGTACTGATCCCTGCGGTACCCCACTGCTTACCACCCTCCACTGAGAAAATTGCCCACCTACACTCACTCTCTGTTTTCTATGAACTAGCCAGTTTTTGATCCATAAAAGGACTTGTCCTTCTATCCCATGATTTTTGAGCTTACTTAGGAGCCTTTGATGAGGAACTTTATCAAAAGCTTTCTGGAAGTCAAGGTAAATAATATCTATTGGATCCCCCTTGTCCACATGTTTGTTCACCCCCTCAAAGAACACTAACAGGTTAGTGAGACAAGATCTTCCCTTACAGAAACCGTGCTGAGTCTGCCTCAATAGGTTTTGTTCATCTATGTGCCTACTAATTCTTTCCTTAATAATGGTTTCCACCAATTTACCCGGTATCGACGTCAGACTGACTGGCCTGTAATTTCCCGGATCTCCTCTGGAACCCTTTTTAAAGATGGGAGTGACATTAGCTACCTTCCAATCCTCAGGAATGGAGGCAGATTTTAAGGAAAGATTACATATCTTTGTCAGGAGATCTACAAGTTCACATTTGAGTTCTTTCAGAACTCTCGGATGTATGCCATCTGGGCCTGGTGATTTTTCAGTTTTTAAGTTGTCTATCAGTTTTAGGACCTCCTCTCTCGTCACCTCAATCTGACTCAGGTCTTTCAACACCCCTCCTGAAATCAGTGGTTCTGGAGTGGGCAAGCACTTCTCATCTTCCACAGTGAAGACGGAGGCAAAAAATGCATTTAGCTTCTCAGCCATTTCCCTATCATCCTTCAATACTCCTTTTACCCCTTGGTCGTCCAAGGGCCCCACTGCCTCCCTGGCTGGTTTCCTGTTTCTAATGTATTTGAAGAAAGTTTTATTGTTGGTTTTTACGTTTTTTGCTATATGCTCCTCATGTTCCCTTTTTGCCTGCCTGACCTCAGACTTGCATTTTATTTGCCATATCCTGTGTTCCGTTTTATCAGCCTCACTGTGACTAGCTTTCCACTGCTTAAAGGAATTCTTTTTACTTTTTACAGCCTCCATTACTCTGTTTGTTAACCATGCAGGCTTTTTCCTATACCTGTTTGTGCCTTTCCTAACCTGCGGAATATATATTTTTTGAGCTTCTAGGATCGTAGTTTTAAATAGATCCCAAGCTTCCCCAATTGTTTTGACCCTTTCTACTTTTCCTTTCAGTTCCCTCCCCACGTGTCCCCTCATATCAGAGAAATTACCCCTTTTAAAGTTAAAAATGGTTGTGTGAGTCTTTTTGGCGAATTCTCTATTTGTACAAATGATGAACTCAACAACATTATGATCACTGTTTCCAAGCGGTGCAATCACTTTTACATCTCTCACCAGGTCTTGAGTGATACTTAGGGGCACACCTTGAGGGGAAGAGGGATCCTGGGAAGAAGAGGTGTGCTGGGAAGAAGAGGCATGCTTTGAGGGGAAGAGGCACACTTTGAGGTTACAAAGTAACTTCTTGGCATATTAAGAACGGAAACTCATTCTTTCACTAGTCCCCAATGGGGAATACTCGTGAACCTAAACTCTGTGTCCAGTAGCACATTTTGCAATTTGACTTCACTCCTGTATAACCACAGTGCATGTGCGTATGCACACTCACTGTCCTGCACATAAGGCAGTCCTGCCGATGCTTTCTTCTGTCCTTGTTTTAGCCCGTCCGTTGGATTCCAGAACCCCATGGGCCACCAGAAAGCCCAGGGGATGTCATTTGGTCACAACCCCCCTATGGTTCCCTGTGGGTCTCTTGAGCACCTGCCTGGTCGGACGGGAATGATGCACCACATGCCGCCGCCTTGTGGGATGCTGAAGCACTGCCAGGTAAGTGGGTAACGAAACCTGCCATGCCACCCTTCTCAGCGCATCATTCCGAAGCATGTCAATACCAAAAGCCCCCAAGGTGGCCATGTCATTCCTGTTGTGTAGCGTTAAAACCTGGAGCAAAGCCCCAGAGTACATTTTTTTTAAGCCAGGGGTGCTTCGACACTCTTGGTAGGCCCTTAGAATGAGTGCTCTATCCAGGGGAGAAAGATGGGTGGCGGCCGAGACAAGAGGGAAACGGGCCTCGGTGGGGTAGGGGGCTGTGGTTGGAGAGGGGGCGCCATCACCTGGAGCTCTCGCCATCTCTTTCCCACAGCTGAAGTCAGAGCCAAGCCTGGGCAGCCCTCTGGATGCCCTGAGCACCAAGTGCCCGGAGGAGTGCTCGGAGGGTGACATTTCCAGCCCAGCCTCTACGGGGACACAGGTAACGCCAGGCCACAGCCAATGTGCTTGCACTTGCGCAGATGGACACACCCCCATCCAGAGCCACAGTCCGGTTCCAGGGCTTGCAGCGGTTCTTTCACAAAGAGAGTGAAATTCTCACGCAGTCAGCACTGCAAAAACAGGGTGCTCTCCCTGCCCCTTGCCCTGCCACAGTGCAAATCTCATCGCTGGGTATATCCGCCTTGTGGAGTTAATACGGCCCATCTTGACTCCTATTGGTGAACCAAAAAGAGCCAATCAGCCTGTACAGCAGGAGCCCACGGAACAGCTTTTCCTCGACTTTTCCGATTTTTTTCCTTCCAGATTCCAAGTAGTGGTGCAAATAGAGGGGTGTCTTATATTGGAATAATCCCACATGAGGGGAGGAAATGTAGTGCTAACAGAAAAGCAGCAAGACAGGGGAAATTAATTAATTGGTTTTCTTCCTGGGCATGATGGTTTTCTGTGCGGAGAGAGGGATGGAAAGCATTCAAATATGAGATTCTAAAGTGGTACAGCTTGGGGAAAATGTACCCTGTGTTCTGGCTGTATGCATAGCTGCCCCCCAAGAACCAGGCTTCATGTAGGTCACACATCCTGTAGAAAGCAGCTCAGCTCTACCTGTTTAGAACCCAGAATGTTCTCTTCTGATGGCTCAAGGAGTAGGAGGGGCTTGAAGTCACTGGCCCATCCACTTTCCCTGCATCACAGGGCCTAAGTATATGTTTCATTACCCCTAGGGACATTTCCAGGGCAGGTGGGGGAGCCATGTTCTGATGCTGCATGCTTCTCCAGTGCCTGCCAGTCCCATGCAGATCAGGACCATGGCATGTGGAGACAGGGGACTTAGACCTCCCCCCATGCTGTTTTCATGACCTGAAATGGCCCCAGGGGGCACTATTTGCCATGGATGAGGTACATGTTTAGGGATGGGCACAAACCAAACCACGAAGCAGAATTCGTCACGAATTTTGCCCTGTTCATGGTTAGCAAACCAAAGTCCATGATGGGTCTACCGTCACGAATTTCCAATAACTTTTAAAGCAGTTTGTGGCAGTTCATGGACAGAGCAGAAAGCAGGGGTTTAAAGGGACTCCAAGTCCCTTTCAACCCCAGCTTTCTGTTCACCGCATAAAGCGCAAAAACAGCTGAGCGGCAGGGAGCAACCTGTTCCCTGCTGCTTAGCTGTTTCAAGCTATCTCGTGCAGACCCTTTAAGCTTTAAATGTCTGCACAAGACAGCCCCAAAAAGCAACTGAGTGGCAGGGAGACTCTCTCTGTCGCTCAGCTGTTTTCCGGGCTTTCTGCAAACCCTGTTTAAAGGGACTGCAGTCCCTTTCAATGAGGTCAGGGGGACTCTCTCTGTCGCTCAGCTGTTTTCCCGGCTTTCTGCAAACCCCGTTTAAAGGGACTGCAGTCCCTTTCAACAAGGTTTTAGGTGCCACAAACTGGTTTGGTTTGTGAACGAACCTCCCAGTTTGGTTGAAATGACATGAACCGCATTTTCCCCTCTTCATGCCCATCCCTAGTTATGTTTTCACCATGGGGCAAATAGCACCCCTCGAGGCCAAATGAGGGCAGTCACATGGCACTGGGAGAAAGGTCTGAGGGCCAAACTAGACATGACTATATCCTCATGGCTGCCACAAAGCCACCGCCATGTTGAAGTTCTTTTAACATGCCGCGAGAGCCCGATCCCGAGAGCCTGTGCAGAGTGGCAGGCTGAGGCAGTCTTGTTCCCCCCCATTGCCTTATGCCAAAATGGTTGCACCCCCCCCCACCCCACCCCATGGCTGTTTTGGCACTTAACAGGGGGGGGGCACAAGAGTACTGCACTACGGCATCTGTGGCATCACGGCATCTTTAAATGAGTTTAAAACGGCAGTGGCGGCTTCGTGTCTAGTTTGGCTGAGAGTTCCCACTCTGCGCCCGGGAAGCATGGAACTCCAGAACAGGCCACCCTGCCCAAACCCGGGGCATCCCTGGGGGAGCCCTCACGTGTCAATAGGCCCCTCGTCCAATAGGAAGTCAGGAGCTGCTGGCTGGCTTTTCCCCCCTTTAGTCATTACCTCTCCTGTGCCTGACCTTCCCTGGCCATCGGGTGGGAAGGGAGATGAGCCGCACAAGAGCTCCACTTTGGGCTTCCTGCCCCGTATCCTGTGGTGTTCCTTAAGAAGGACAGAAGGCCCTTGTCTTATCTGTGTGTCTTGCTCAAACACCAAGGAAATGTAGGGAGACGTCCTCCGTAGCTGCCCCACTTCTATCCAATTGTTTTCTTCCGGAGGCTCACCAGAGCCCTACCAGGAGTTTATTTTTGCCTGGGTCACTGGTCCTTGGTTGGGGCTAAGTGAGCAGATGAAGGGAAGGGATCGTCCTTTATTGTGTTTTTATGTTAACCCATTTCTACTGCCCCCTAGCCTTTCCCAACAACAAAAGGCATTAGATGGATACAAATTTTTTAAAAAGTTAAATGTGTGGAAGGGCGGCAATATATTTCTCGGGAGAAACCTGGCCATGCACCTGGACCCACAGTTTCCACCTGCTCACCCACAGGACGCTTGCAAGAGGGCGTGTGAAATGGGTGCACTGAGCATAGGGTGCCGCCTTCAACTGAGTCAGACCATCGGTCTGCCTAGGCTAACTTTGTGGCTGCTCTTCAGAGTCTAAAGCAGAGGTGTTTTCCGTCCCTGCTGTCTCTCCACTGGAGATGCCACAGGCTGAAAACGGGACTTCCAGGATGTAAAACATGCGTGCCCTACCACTGAGCTGCAGCTCCTCTAATGGGCCCAGAACAAAATGGTTTTTCTCAGACTTCAGGCAACCCCATTGAGCTCTCACTGGACGTGGAGGCAGGGACACCTGTTGTCTCTCTTCCTGTGAACTGTTCCGGGAGGAAGTGGGGGAGGGAAGGAAGGAATAGGCCAGGTAATTGCCAGGTGGTGTCCCAAGAACGTCTCAGTGTGCGTCATGTCTTACCTCCATCTCAGGACCCCTTGCTAAGCATTCTAGATCCTCGGGACGAGCTGGAGAAGGAAGACGGGAAGGTGGAGGCGGAGGCCGTGTACGAGACCAACTGCCACTGGGAAGGGTGCTCCAAAGAGTTCGACACCCAGGAGCAGCTGGTGCATGTGAGTTGACGGGGCACCAGCGTGGGGGACTCTCTGGTCGGGCGGACGGGTTCTCTCACTCACCCCTTTGCTCTGAGACGGGACCGACTTCACCGAACACACCCCAGAGCAATTCCTGCTTCACCTTGTAATAAATCAGGATAAGAACCAGAAGCGTAGTGGGATTCTAATAAGGGTAGCTGCCTGCCTTCATGAGGCGATGAGGTTGCTGCGATCCTCCAGGGAAAGTCACGCCAAGGTGTCCTCTCTGTGGTCTGCTGCAGGAAACCAGGGCGGTGACGCGGAGACTCGGTCTTGCACGGCCAGGACTTGAGCACCTTGTCTCCGGGTCCGACGCAAAGTTCTCTGTTCCCCTGCCCCTATGTCAGTTCTGGCTCAAGCGATTCTGCCACCCCAAAGAGGCCACCTCCCACGAGACCCTGGGAAGGTGCAGAGCAGCAGCGTTGGCAGGGAGCCTCCTCCCGACCTTGCTACCACGGCTCAGGTTCAGGTTGGCCTCCAGGCGCAGCACCACTGGACCCTGCCTCGGTCCCAAGGGGCAGTGACGGGGGAAACGGAGGGACTTCAACCCCTCTCCTTGCTGCCCTCGCCAGGGGGCCATGGACCGCAGCTGCAAGGATGGGGGAAAGCCTCCGCTCCCTCACCCGTGCTGCCGCTGCCGCCGCCACTCAGATCCAGGACCAGAGAGGAAGCCTTTGCATTCTCATAAGCGCTCAAGCGATTCTGCCACCCCAAAGAGGCCACCTCCCACGAGACCCTGGGAAGGTGCAGAGCAGCAGCGTTGGCAGGGAGCCTCCTCCCGACCTTGCTACCACGGCTCAGGTTCAGGTTGGCCTCCAGGCGCAGCACCACTGGACCCTGCCTCGGTCCCAAGGGGCAGTGACGGGGGAAACGGAGGGACTTCAACCCCTCTCCTTGCTGCCCTCGCCAGGGGGCCATGGACCGCAGCTGCAAGGATGGGGGAAAGCCTCCGCTCCCTCACCCATGCTGCCGCCACCGCCGCCGCCACTCAGATCTAGGACCAGAGAGGAAGCCTTTGCATTTCTGGCTCTAGCTAGCTCTCAGCCCTTCTCATCCCTTTGTCCCTGGTTGTAACCCGAGAGGGAACTGGCAGACCAAGTGATTTAGCCCAAGTCAGTGGATTTTGTGGCCGAGCAAAGACTTGAACTCAGGCCACTTTGATCCAAGCCCAACATTCTCACCATGGTACCACCCCACCCCTTTGGGTATTAAAAAGCATTAAAAGCCACGTGAACATATGACGCTGCCGTACACCAAATCAGACCCTGGGTACGTCAAAGTTAGTATTGCCTACTCAGACTGGCAGCATCTCTCCTGGGTCTCAGGTAGAGGTCTTCACATCACCTGCTGCCTGGTCCTTTTAACTGGAGATACCAGGGATTGAACCTGGGACCTTCTGCATGCCAAGCAGAGGCTCTCCCACTGAGCCACTACCCCTCCCCTCATGGTTACCTCAATTGGGGGGGGGACCCCATAGTTTCAACCCCATAGTTTCTGGTCCTGTCCTAACTGAACTATCAGGGAAGGGAATGCATCCCCCAAATGAATGGCCGGCTTCCAACCTTGCATTGCTTCTCTCCCCTGCCGCTGCAGCACATTAACAACGAACACATCCACGGGGAGAAGAAGGAGTTTGTGTGCCACTGGCATGACTGCTCACGAGAGCAGCGGCCCTTTAAAGCTCAGTACATGCTCGTCGTCCACATGAGGCGCCACACAGGAGAGAAGCCCCACAAGTGCACAGTAAGTGGGATGGAGGGACCCCAAAACAGCTAGCTGGCTTCCAGTGGGAGTACCTGGGGAGGTAGGCAGGGTTGGCACGAGAGAAGCTCAAGCGCACCACATCCGGCATCAGTTCTAGTATTTTGGGCCTGCAAATGGAAAACACAGGGAAAGCCAATGGAGGCGGTAGCTGGCCGGTTGTATGTGTCCATCACGGGCAATGCTCCCTCTAAGCTGTGGAGTCTTGTGAGCAAAAATGCTACTTTGTGAGCTACTGGCATGAAAGCTGTGAGCGAGCGATTGGGCTGCTGCATAAATGAGTTTGCGCTGGAGCCATCCTTCCTAAGACAAAAATGTGTGAGCCGGAGGCTAAAAAAAACGGTGAGCTAGCTCACACTAACTCATCTTAGAAGGAACACTGCTTCTCTTCCAAGTTGGTCTCGCTCCCTGCTGTAATGAGCGGCTAACAACACTTGAAAGTTTAAAACTAACTCTGTGGATGCTCAAATACTTGAAGGTAGACTAACCCAAGTTTATTAAGAGATGGGTCTCTTCTCCTGTGCCTTTATTGATTACTTCGGGTGCAACTAGATGAAATGCAAGGGACCTGAGATTATATCTCCAGACATCTTTAATTTTCTTAAAAGCAGCAATGTGTTGTCTGTTTGGACTAAGTATATACTGGGCACAGAGACCTTTTCCCCCCTGTGAGCTGTTTCTCAAAAAGAACTTGGCTCCTCCCCAAGGGAATATTATTTGCTCTGGGAACCGTTTTTCTCTATCAGGAAAAAAAAGCATCTTGGGAGAGGGGAGGCTGTCTATCTGGAAAATGGTTCAGCAAATAGGAACGAGGAGGAATAATCACAGGCAAAAAGCAAGAGTTACTCCCCAGAGACAAAAAAAAAAATAATCAGTCACCAATACATGGAACTACAGTCTAATTGAAATAAAAGGATCATAACAATCACATGTAAATGAACGTAAGTGTTCTTAAGCATTACAAAGTAGAATTTTTGCTTACAAGACTCCACAGCTTAGAGGGAGCATTGGAAGAGAGTTATTCTTAATCGCAAATTAAGACCAGATGGAAGACCTACCTAGAGTGGATACTGAAAGAAAAAAGAAAGGACATTCAGTGGAAGATTAAGACTTTGTGCCCGTGGCTGGGGTGAAAAGACTAAGATAGGGAGGGAGGGAGGAAAGGGATGAAATTGTATATAGCTACAAATATTGGATGTAACAGACTGAACAAACAATAAAAAATATATTTATATTTTAAAAAATCTCAAATAAAAAACGTGCACTGCAGTGAATGTAAGCCAAGGAGGGCAGAGCTCCCGTACCTGTTGGAGTTGGGCAGATAAGTATGTCATTGCACAGAAAGGCTGCATAAACACATAGCATTTCTCAGAGCTGTTCAACTGGTTGCACTGGTCAAAACGTCCTCTGTTGCAACAACTCTGAAACATGCAAGAGCTCTGCCATCCCTCGCCCCTCTACGCTAGACTCCACAGCTTAGAGGGAGCATTGCCCCCTCACCACTCTGTTATATGGCCAATGAGTCACGTTTGGGTGACCTGCAGTGTCACCCTAAGCCCACCATTAATTTCAGTGGACGTAGAAGACTGGAACTCTGTTGAGGATGGCATTGTTGGTTGTGAATGGGCAGGGTTGGAGGCCTTGTGGGAAGGCGGGTGCAAAGCTACGAGTGTGGAGAAGGAAGCTCTGCATTGGGGCTGGAAGCGAGACAGAGGCCCTCCTAGGGGGTCTTCCCTTCTGCCCCACCAACCATCACCCCCTGTCGCCCTACAGTTCGAAGGATGCAACAAGGCCTACTCACGTCTGGAGAACCTCAAGACCCACTTGCGCTCCCACACGGGCGAGAAGCCCTACGTCTGCGAGCACGAGGGCTGCAATAAGGCCTTCTCCAACGCCTCCGACCGGGCCAAGCACCAGAACCGGACACATTCCAATGAGGTATGGCGTATGCTCCAGCGGCCCCAATTTACCAGGGATAACCCTTGTTTCCAGGTATTGGGCACTGGTAAATCACTGTCCCTGTTTAAATCACTGTCTCAATTTTATCCTGATTTTTTCCCTTATGGGGGGGCAATTTTGTGAGAGGCTTTCCAAGAAGGTTGCATGCATCCATGTGCGCGAGAGTTCTTCATGATTCAGTCTCCTCCCCTGGGTCACTAGAAACTGACTGTCCGAGTGGGAAGGAGTCGATGTGTTACGCCTTCCCAACTTCAACAGCCTTAGAAGGGCGTAACTCTGCTTCAGCTGGCACGATACAAGAGCCATCGTTAAGTGGGTCTACTCAGCATCCTACTCAGGTCTATTCAATGAGGCCTACTCCTGGGAAAGCATTCCCAGGATCGCACCGTAGGTCACTAGCAGGGCTTTCTTTGGTGTACGCATGGAAACGGAAATGCAAGGACACGAAATAGCAGTGCCTTTGCTGCCGTCCCGCCCCCACCCAGTAACACCTCTCCAGATAGTTAATGTTGCTTGAGCTTCAGCTAAGTCTAACCAGATCCATTGGGAGATTAAGCGGTCTTTTCTTTTGCAAGGAAACCTTTCGGTCCTGTTTCCTAAAGGTGTGCAATACAGACTGTAACGGGTGACTTGAATAAAGTGTACGGCGGGTGGAGAAGCGCCTCTAGAAATGTGAAGGGTGGCACCCTTAATATATGAGAAGCGGGGCGCTGTCAATACATGAGTGTCCTTATTTTATCTGTACAGTGTTGGAGGGAGTGACGCGGAGAGGCGAGCCCTGACCTGCAGGCAGGGGAAGATAGTCCCACATCTAAGTTGCTTTAGGAAGGTGACCTACAGTGCAATCCTGGGAATGCTTCCCCAGGAGTAGGCCCCATTGAATAGACCTGAGCAGGATGCTGAGTAGACCCACTTAATGAATGCTCTTGTATAGCGCCAGCTGAAGCAGAGTTAAAAGGTAAAGGTTCCCTTGCTCGACAGCCAGTCGAATCCGACTCTAGGGTTGCGGTGCTCATCTCCGTTTCAAAGCCGAAGAGCCAGCGCTGTCCGAAGACGTTTCCGTGGTCATGTGGCCGGCATGACTAAACACCAAGGTGCACGGAACGCTGTTACCTTCCCACTGAAGTGGTCCCTATTTATCTACTTGCAATTTCTTGCTTTCGAACTGCTAGGTTGGCAGGAGCTGGAACTAGAGATGGGAGCTCACTCCGTCATGCGGCACCCGGGTCTTGAACTGCTGAACTACTGACCTTCCACGGCCTGCAGTTCAGCGTCTTAACCACTTGAGCCATCGTAAATCTGTTGAAGTTGGGAAGGTGTAACTCTGCCCAGGACTGCACTGTTAACGGAGAGCCAAACGACATGTTATGGTTGCTACGGGTTTAACCCATGGCCACTAATACGATTTTACATAGGAATTTGACCATTAAAAAAAACACCACTCTTGGCTGTTTTGGTACTTGAAAAGGCACAGGGGGGAACAAGAGCGCCTGGGCTGTCATACAGAGGATGGTACGGAGTTGTTTCCTGTTGCCCCAGAAGGTCGGACCAGAACCAATGAGTTGAAATTAAATCAAGAGAGTTTTCGGCTAAACATTAGGAAGAACGTCCTGACAGTTAGAGTGGATCTTCAGTGGAACTGGCTTCCTCGGGAGGTGGTGGGCTCTCCTTCATTGGAGGTTTTTAAGCAGAGGCTAGATGGCCATCTGACAGCAGTGCTGGTTCTGTGAACTCGGGCAGATCATGAGAGGGGAGGGCAGGGAGGGATGAGTCAGTGCTTAGTTCTCTTGTGGCCCTTTCTCACACGCCCAGGGACATGCTGATCGCCACTTTGGGGTCAGAAAACAATTGTTCTCCAGGCCAGTTTGGCCTGGGATCCTGGAGGGGTTTTTTGTTGCCATTCTGGGCATGGAGCAGGGATCACTGGCAGTGTTCCCTCTAAGCTGAGTTAGTGTGAGCTAGCTCACAGCTTTTTAGCCTCCGGCTCACACATTTTTGTCTCAGCTCAGGAAGGATGGCTCCAGAGGAAACTAATTTATGCAGGAGCCAAGTCACTCGCTCACAACTTTAATGTCAGCAGCTCACAAAGTAGAATTTTTGCTCACAAGGCTCCACAGCGTAGAGGGACCATTGGTCACTGTGTGTGTGTGTGTGTGTGTGTGTGTGTGTGTGTGTGTGTGTGTATGAAGGGAGGTATTTGTGAATTTCCTGCACTGTGCAGGGGTTTGGACGAGATGACCCTGGAGGTCCCTTCCAACTCTATGATTCTGTGGTTCCCCCCACCAATCAGTATCAGCTCCTCGTGGCATTTTTTTTTGAATGGTCAGATTCCTCTGTAAAATGGTATTGATAGCTATGAGTCAAACCTATGGCAGCTGCAATGTGTAGTTTGCTTCTGACACGCTGCATCTTTGGGAGGGAGCGTCTTGTGTGTGTGTTTGTGTGTGTGCATGCCTGGAAGTCATGATAGACTTCTGGTGACCCCCTAGTGGGGCTTGGACGTTCAGAGAAGTGACCTGCTGTTGCCTGCCTCTGCGTCCCAGCCCTGGGATTCCTTGGAGGTCTCCCATCCAAATACCTGCCAGGGTCAGCCCTGCTTAGCTTCAAGATCTGATGAGATCAGTCTTGCCCGGGCTATCCAGGTCAGGGCTGACACACTGCATCTTGTGGTACGGTAGCCACCCAATGCATCATTCAGAGGCCGGTTGACCATGAGGGTTCATGCGTTCTCTGAAGCTCATCAAAAGGTTCTGACGATCTCGTTGGTGCTCCGGCAGAAACCCTACGTCTGCAAGATCCCCGGCTGCACCAAGCGCTACACGGACCCCAGCTCTTTGCGCAAGCACGTCAAGACGGTGCACGGGCCGGATGCTCACGTCACCAAGAAGCACCGCGGCGATACGGTGCCCAGCAGCCGGATGCTGGCCCTCCACGGAGACATGAAGCAAGAGAGGGATAGTGAGGGCAGGAAGGAAGAGGGCAAGCTAGTGGTGCCTGACTCTAACTTGGTAAGTACTGCGGATCGATTTAAATCAAGGCCACTTCCATCAATAAGGGAGGTTGGTGGCTGGGAGGCAACACTTAGAGTGGCCTGCCTGTTCTTGTCCCCCAGCGTCAAGCCAAAATATAGGTGCATGTACTATTGTGTTGCCTGTTGACTGACCAGGGTGTTTAATCCAGTATTCTTTCATAAGAGAGAATAGGGAATTTTTTTGTGTGTGTGTGCCTGGTACCATCTGTACCATGGTCTTCAATTTTTGAGGACACAGAACGGTTAACCACCTTGGTTTATCCAAGGTAGGGTACTTATAATCTGAAATCCCTTTTGGGATCTAGCTGCTTCTGCCTTTAATTGTTTAACATCAGGGCACAGAAGGAGGAGGAGGAGGAGGAGGAGATTGGATTTATACCCCGCCCTTCACTTGGAGTCTCAGAGCGGCTTACAAACTCCTTTCCCTTCCCCTCCCCACAACAGACACCCTGTGAGGTGGGTGGGGCTGAGAGAACTCTGACACAAACTGCCAGAGCTTGTGACTGACCCAAGGTCACATCAGCAGGTGCAAGTGGAGGAGTGGGGGAATCGAACCCGGTTCTCCCAGATTAGAGTCCGCACACTTAACCACTACACCAAACTGGTGTAATAGCTGTGATGTAGTTTGATCGCCATCATTTGAGGGTTAGGTTTATAGTTTTATTCTTGATTTTATTGTTTTACGTGATTGGCGTAACCCACCCTGAGGCCGCTTGCAGTAAGGGCAGGATAGAAATTGAACCAAATAAATAAATAAATAAATAAATAAATAAATAAAAGTCCTGTTTTAAGAGCTTTTGGCTTGAGACCTCTGCCTGGGCTCCACGTTTCCAGCCGGGGGCTGCTGCGAGGGTAATCCTCCGGTGGGCAGTGTGTTCCTCGCATGCTGGGCACTGTGCAGCTCATGGAAGGACCCTGGGGTCTGGTGCAAGCAGAAGTGCCCGGTGGCAGAGGAAACGGGCTTCATGGCAGAGGACAGGGGCCACAGAGCAAAGGTATTACAGGATCCAGGCCACTATGTTGTCACCGAGTCCAGCCTCCACTTTGAACCAGGTGGGCAGGGAGAGTGTTTCACTGCTTTTTAAGGCAAAAGCTAAACGCTGGGGTAACAACGTCATGGATTGTTAAGGAAATGGGCTGTTTTATCCGAGGTTTATGTGATGCACTAGTGGGGCCCGGCGTGGCTGACGAGTGATCCACGAGAAGGGAGGGCTTACCTATGTGCCAAACTTACATTTATTTTTGTACCGGTTTGACCGTCACGCCTCTCCCAAGGTGTCCCGGGAAGGGGAGTCTGGTGGGGGTGGCGCTGACCCGTAGCTTTCCCGACAGAATGATCATCCCCAGGATTCTCCGGGAAGAGGGAATGACTCCTAATCCATTAGTATAAGGGTCTCCTGGGCGTCTTGGAACATGCCCTGAAATCCTCTTGCCACGAAGGTTATCAGCCTCAGTGTGGGAACTGCGGCATTCTCCCGGAATTACAACGGATCTCCAGACGAGAGAGATAAAAGCTCCGCTGGGGAAGAGGCAGCAGTTTTGGAGGGTGGATTGGATGGCATCACGTCCCTGCCGGGCTCCCTCCCCAAGTGCTGCCCATCCCCAGGCATCATCCCAGAAATCTCCGTAGCTGAAGCTGGCAACCCTGCAGACTGCAACAAACTGACTTTCTGGGGAGAGCCAGTTATGGTGTAGTGGTGAAGGGCAGCGGACTCTAATCTGGAGAACCAGGTTCAATTTCCCCACTCCTCCTCCACCTGAAGCCGGCTGGGTGACCTTGGGTCAGTCACAGTTCTTTCAGAGCTCTCAGCCCCTAAAAACAAGTCTCCTTCACCGGTAGCATAAGAGCTAGAACTTGCAGCTGCCAGACGATCTTAGGATCTCCTGGCTGTTCTACACACAATGCCATACAATAATTAATTAATTAATTAATTGACTTCCTTGGGTCGGTTGGTTGATATGGAAAGAGTTCCCTGATCTAGTCGAGCTGGGGAAACGGCAGCCTTAACTTGTCTTAATTAGTTGCCCCACTCCCTAAAGTTTATCCCAACCAGTTGCAATTGGCCCCTTCAGTTACATAAGAGCATAAGAGATGCCAATGTTGGATCAGGCCAAAGGCCCATCCAGTCCAACACTCTGTATCACACAGTGGCCAGAAATACCAGTGCCATCAGGAGGTCCACCAGTGGGGCCAGGACATTAGAAGCACTCCCACTGTTAGCTGGCTAAAAGTTTAGTTCGTTAAACTACCAATTAGAGCTGGCGGCCCTGTTCAAAATGTAATCTTGTGCGACTCTTTGGGTGCAGTGGGAGGGAATTAAGACGGGGAGCCACGGTGAGTCACTAGCCACAATCCCTTTAACCATGACTGTGTCTGTGCTTCGCCCCTCCACCACCCCAGAAACCGCAGCCCAGCCCTGGGGGCCAGTCGTCCTGCAGCAGCGAGCGCTCTCCCTTGGGCAGCGCCAACAACAACGACAGCGGCGTGGAGATGAACGCCAACACAGGCGGCAGCTTGGAGGACCTGTCGGCGCTGGAGGAACCCTCGGAGTCCATGGGGACCTCAGGGCTGTCGGCCTTGCGCAAGCTGGAGAACCTGCGCATCGACAAGCTCAAGCAGATGCGCAAACCCTTGTCGGGAAAGGGAGTCAAGCTGCCTTCCATCTCCGGAGCAGGTATGTGGGCAAGGCCGGGTGGAAGCCCAAAAGCTAGACAGTAGGGATGTTGTAACAATCCAGTTGTTCAGGTTTCCCCCCTGGATTCTCTGTCCAGGTGTGGTGGGTGCAGTGTAGTGGTTAAAGGAATGGGCTGGGATCCGGGAGACTCAGGTGTGAATCCCCAGTCTGCCCTGGAAGCTGGCTGGGTGACCTTCTGCCAGCCACATGCTTTCAGCCTAACCGAGGGCTGTTGTGAGGATAAAAGGGAGGAGGAGAGAAAGCCACTTTGCCTCCCCTTTAGGAAGAAAGGTGGTGAAAATAAATAAATATGCTGTTCGCTGGCTTGGATCCCCAAACTTTCATGTAAACAAAATGAGGTTTTCAACCCTTGGATAGCTGAAGATAACAAAACAAATCCCGCAAGGAGCCTTCCACCGAATGGCAGAGTGCGGAACAACACGGCTGACACTCGCCGCTGTTCTAGCCAAACACAAAACAGGGAATGCCATGTATGAATTGGGACAATAGACAAGAGCACTGGGTAAAACAATACTTATTGCACATGTGTGCTCCACCATAAGCTAAATTAATAAATTCGTACAATAGATCAAAATTTGCCTTATACTTAACTTTCATCAGTTTTAAACTTCCAATCTGTAATTGTCACCAAGAATGGTTTGCACAGCCCCGATAAGCAAAGAAACAGTCGTGGCGGCAGTCTCAGTGTCACAAGTTGAAATTGTAGTTGTGGCTGCAGTTTCAAAAAGACTGTGACTTCATAGACGTTGCGACTGATGAGTTGCCTAGGTTGGATCTCATTTCAGGACTGGTCTTCATCGAAATCGTATCGACTTTGACAAGTGTTATATTCACAAGAAGCTTTTATCCAGAACCACTCTTTAACTTGTATACTGTAAAGCCGATCTCAAATTGTTCAAGGGAGCCACACTAGCGTCCAAGTTATGCAATTCCACAGCACATGTAAGGCAGAGATGTTCGGCCAGGTTTTTGGTTGAGGGCAGCAACGACTACCTCATTGGCTGGCACCCTTCTTTCTCTCCCACCCCCCCTTTATGTCCTGAGTTCCCTTTCCCCCCACCCAGAAAAGGGGCTGGGAGTCTGGAATTGAGACAAATATTATTACAGAAAAATCACCAATTTGGATCTTTTATCTACACTGAAATTTTTATTACAGTAGATATTGAATTTTAATGTTTTGTATTTTTATGACATTACGCCCAGAGCTAGGATAGGGTTATGATGATGAGGAATATTGTGATTATTATTGTGATTATTATTATTAATAATAATAATAATAACAATAATAATAATAACAACAACAACAATAATAATATTAATATTAATAATAATAACAACAACAACAATAATAATAATCACAATAATCCTCATCATCATAACCCTATCCTAGCTCTAGGCGTAATGTCATAAAAATACAAAACATTAAAATTCAATATCTACCGTAATAAAAATTTCAGTGTAGATAAAAGATCCAAATTGGTGATTTTCCTGTAATAATATTATTATTAATAATAATAATAATTGAAATTGTTGGCAAAAC